AAAAGATGTATTACTCAGTAAATGCCTTTTTAACTGATAAGTTTGAAGATGTATAATTAGTTTTTAGAGGGATTGTTTTATTTGGTTGCCATTTTGTAATTTTGACTTGGCATATACATTGTAACTATGTCTACATGCTTAATAAAGAATTTGAATTTGAATTTGAATTTGAATTTGAATTTGAATTTGAATTTGAATTTGAATTTGAATTTGAATTTGAATTTGAATTTGAATTTGAATTTGAATTTGAATTTGAATTTGAATTTGAATTTGAATTTGAATTTGAATTTGAATTTGAATTTGAATTTGAATTTGAATTTGAATTTGAATTTGAATTTGAATTTGAATTTGAATTTGAATTTGAATTTGAATTTGAATTTGAATTTGAATTTGAATTTGAATTTGAATTTGAATTTGAATTTGAATTTGAATTTGAATTTGAATTTGAATTTGAATTTGAATTTGAATTTGAATTTGAATTTGAATTTGAATTTGAATTTGAATTTGAATTTGAATTTGAATTTGAATTTGAATTTGAATTTGAATTTGAATTTGAATTTGTATGGATATATCAGTCGAGAAACTAGAAAACAAAGGAATATATTCAAGCTTTAAACTGGGTGTTGATTTTGACCAAAAATACGCTCTTTATGACAGTGCAGCATGGCCTTTAGCTCTCTAGTGAAACGTTTTTTATTCAAAAGGACAAGAAACCCAAATCTGGGATAGCAATCTTTGAAACTGGTGTAAATAGTAGGCCTATATGTAAGACTGTGAGTAGGCCTAACCCAAATTTAAATCAAACTGTTAATAAAAATAGTGCAATAAATAGTAGCCGTAGAGTAGGGCTAAAACTAACTTTTAGTAATGTCCAATGCTTCAGGACCAAGATAAATCTAGTTGAAGCATTTGTGAAGAATACTTATCCAGATGTGCTATGCTTATGTGAGCACTACCTAAATAGTGATGAAGGAAATTATTTTGCCAATATTGATACTCTTAAGCTAGCCTCTGCATATTATCGCTCTAATCATAAAAATGGCAGAACATCAGTGTACTTGAAGCCAAGTCTTGCTCATAAACAATTGGACCTTGAAATGTTATGTAATGAATTGGATATAGAGTTGTCAGGAGTTATTTTACTAAAATATTCAATCATAGTGGTATCGCTTTATAGATCCCCGAATGGCATGACAGATGTTTTCTTCCAAAAATTGGATCACTGTCTAACATACTTAAGTAGACTGAATATGTTGATAATTTTGGGGGGCGATGTAAATATTCATTTAAATGTGGTTTAAATGTGGAGGACAACTTGTGTTTTGCCTTCAGACACATTCTCATGTTTCAGACACATTCAGACACATTCATTGGTTTTGGTATGTACATAACCAACCACACTCCTACTCAAGGGAGGTATTGCTTGGACACTATTGCCACCTCGTTAAATTCATGGGACTACACTGTCACCGTTGTAAATCCTGTTGTGGCGGACCATGATGCTGTTTTATGGACCTGAACCTCGATGCTGACTGCAGTTTGGTGAGTGACCAAAGTCTAGTCTTAGATTGGCATAGTAACTATACTTGTACTTTTAGGATAATTAAGGAAGATTTTATTACACAATTTAAGCTAGCCTTGGCCGTTGTTGACTGGAGAGCCATTGTAGAAAATCCTACTGTAAATGCAACCCCAGATCATTTGTGTAACGCTTTCTTCGATAAGTTCTTATCTGTTTTTGATGAGTTATTCCCAAAAAAAACAGTACCTATGGATAGGCAAGTGACACCTCGGCAGCAGACAGTCAATAAGGATTGGTTCTCTCCGATACTCGCCCAGCTTAGATCCCTTGTGCTTGCTCTTAATGACCGAAGCAAAGCATCCACAGATGGAAATGATAAAATCAGATTCCACGCTAGTTATTTAAGAGTAAAACAAATCTATAGGCGTGAGGTAGATCTGGCCAAGAAATAAGCTAACATGTCGCTTATTGTAAATTCAACAAATAGTTGTAAGGCTGCTTGGAACATCGTAAATCAGGTTGGTGGCTCCAACAAAGGTAAATCAAGACCAAAATTTAGGGAAAGTCCAGACCAGTTTAACAGTTATCTTATAAGTGAAGTACAAAACATTATTATAAAATCCCCAAAGATAATGTGAGTCCGGAAGAACTGTGTAGGCCTATCTATCGTATATCCAATGACGTGACTCCCTTTAGGCACTGGCGGAGGGTGACACCCAGTGAAATTATCGGCATTGTGACTAGATTTAAGAAGAAACAGAGCTGGGATATTTATGGTATATCTGTAGAGCTTTTAAAAAAGTTTATAGAAGTTATTGTATATCCTTTGTGTCATGTCATCAATGTATACCTTGAGAGAGGTTATTTTCCAGACATACTAAAGGTGGCTCGCACTGTCCCAGTTTACAAAAAAGGCGATCCTACGGCCATGAAAAGCTATAGGCCTATATCGATTATACCTGTCCTGGCAAAGATCTTTAAAACTGTAGTCTATCATTTTGAAAAAAAAATCATCTCTTTCTTGATGCCCAGCACGGGTTCCGTCGTGGTAAATCCACAGTTTCTGCTGTCCTTCAACTGGTCGAAAACATTCTAGACTCCTTTGAGTCTCAAGAATCCACAGCCTTGGCATTGGTTGATTTAAGGAAGGCGTTTGATTGCGTCCCGCATGGCCTGCTGATACAAAAGCTCTCGGCGTATGGAGTAGAAGGGGAAGTTCTAGAAACGTTTCGTACCTACCTCCATAATAGAAAGCAAATTCTCACAATCGATGGGGCAAATTCTGAGCCACTTGAGGTATTTCACGGTGTGCCACAGGGCTCGGTGGTTGGGCCTGTGCTGTTTCTGATCATTATAAATGACCTAGGCCTACTGGGAAACATCCTCCTATTTGCAGATGATACCTCAATCTACACTAGCGGCCATGATCCAGAGACAGCCCTGACAATAGCAGAAGCGAAGCTTGTTGCCGTAAAATCATGGTTCGACAACAGTAGCCTAAGCCTAAATGAAGGTAAAACTCAAAAGATAGTATGAAGTCTTTCAAAATACCACAATGAAATAGATGAGGTGAAGCTCCTTGGCTTCCAAATAGATCCGAAACTAACTTGGGAGAAGCATGTTAACTACATCTGCAAAAAACTAAACCTTGTGATCTGTCTCATACGTAGGCTGAAACGACTTGTCTCCAAGGATTTTCTTGTTACAGTCTACTTGTCATTGTTTCATAGCCACATCATCTATGGTCTTGAGCTGTGGGGCCATGCCTCAACCTGCGCTAAAATCCTAGTCCTACGGAAGAAAGCTCTCCGAATAATGGTCTCTTCAGTGATGAAGAGCACTGCAAGCCCATATTCAAGAAATTGGGCATATTTACAATCTTCAACCACTATATTTTAGTCAGTCTTCTTCACATTCATCAAAATTTACCAACGCTACCAATACGAGTAGACCAGCATAGTTATAATACCAGAAGGAAAAACACATTGACCTACCATTCTGTAGACTTACCAAAAAGAAAGACTGCTACCCTGTCCTGGCTATGAAATTTTTCAACCTACTCCCGGCTACCGTCAAAGAACTAGAACCAAGGACGTTTGAAAATAAAATTGGGACTTGGCTTAAAAACAACCCCTTCTACACACTTAATGAGTATCTAGAAGCCGACTACTTCCTCAATAAAATGAAGTGACCTGCCGCCAAATTTAAATCAAGATCTAAGAATTTAATTTCTCAAAGTTTTTTTTGTTGTAAATATATGTTTTGTTTGGTAATAGTATTGACGCCATCTATCCAGTTATACTGGTCAACGATGAAGAGAAAAGTATGAAGTAAGTAAGTAAGTGATAAAGTTATTCTGTAGTTCAAATTTTGATATTTGGATTTATATGCAGATATGTGTAGGCGGTTTTAGCTTAAGGGTGTTTGGTCGAAAATTTTCATGTCTGATTTTTTGTTATTGTTTAATTGTACTAAAAATTAGAGATACAAATATATAAGAAATTTTTTTTATTTTGAATATTAAGCGAGATATGGAGCTTGAAAGTAGCTTTTCGCTGCACTACAAAGAATAATTATTTTCTCCATTACAAAGCTCATAGAATGTTTTAGGTTATGCCTTCATATCTGCATGGAGAAACAACAATCCAGAAAGATCAAACGTCGCACAACACCTGTTACAAAACGGACACTCAATAGGAAAAATGGAGGATAATCTATGTATTTTAAAGAATTGTAAGAAGGGATATGCGATGAATGCTTGGGAAGAATTGTATATTTATAAGGAAAAATGTAAAAATAGAAATAAGTTGATTAATGAACAAGTAAATTTCGATTCCAGTTGTACTTATGAAAATGTATTGGCCGGTGTTTCCGGTAGCCAATAGGGTGTAAGTAGGGACGCCATTCAAGATTCTTGTCATTCGCCTATTGGGTCTGATGATGATTGGAGTGTCCAATCGAAATCGATCACCACTTACCATCTTTTGTATATTTACCGTCTTGTGAGTAACAGTATAAGCGTAAATATATGTTTTAAGTGTTATAAGACGTATCTTTATTTACTTTCCGTAAATAATTATGCAAAACATGTCAGACGAACATTTACAATTTCAATATCATAAGTAATTATATAAAAAAAAATGTTATATTTACTACCATCATATCCTATCATAACTGTTATGTTGACTGGCAATATACTTTTTTAAATCGTTGGAAAAATTTTCTGTTGGTGGGATTTATTATTTAATGTTGATAGCACTCAATCATTAGGTGGTTCGGGCGAAGCTCAGTTCAGCTGGGTACAACTCGATAAAAAAAAAATAAAATTTAATTTTCCCTTATTATCTTATTCGTACCCTAACTAGAAATGATCTTAACCTATCTGATTATGGTTTCTCACCAAAACTTGCGCATTAATAAAAAAAAAAAAAAAACAACATATTGGTAAAGTGGATAAAAGAATATGGATAAGACTTACCAACACGTACACCCCAAGAACATAATGAAAGGGCTTCATGTTGGGGCGATGTAATTGAACTAACATTCACACCAACTTATACCAGGCAAACGTGGAATGTGTGCGTCATTCACTAATGATTCAATTAATCACTAGCAGCTGTGGCCCCGTTAACACGCCAGGGAATGAAGTATTCGGTTAGAACTGTTTTATTTATTTATTTTAAACGGCAGCAGCAAATTTACAAAGACAAGCATAGATGGTAGAATACAACAAAATAGATATACAAAATTTGATGATATTTTTTTTGATACATAAGAAATCAGCAGGATCAGAATTATTTTACTTGTCTGCACATTGACATTTCTTATTATGGTTTTGTACAGGAATAGTCTCAGGAATAGAACTCTGGTGTATCAAACAACCTTTTGTTGGATTTCACCATTAATGAAGAGCCTATGACAAATTTCATCTGGGTCTGGTAACGATTTTACTTGGAACCGAACTCGCAAACTTCAAATTTAAAGGTGTTAACAATAGGCACTGAGCTACCAAGAAAAGAAAGTCAAACCTTTTGAAAGAAGCATACGAAAAAAGAAAATACACATAAATTAACCTACATGAAGAAAGATTTTAAAATGTTCAACGTATAAATTGAGGTTATGTGGCAACCTCTTTTTAGCCAATCGTATACATTTTAGTTCTAATAAGCTAAAAAAGATGAAAAAGATTGGACTTTTTGTTTGAATGAATCAATTCAGATAGTAATCTAAGGTATTAAGTAAGAAATGTCATATAGTTAAGCTAAAACCTACTGCTTACAACTTCTAAACATTACTTGGAATTTACCATGGTTATCATTATCTTTTATTACATTCCTTGTCGCATCTTTTACAAGATTTGTCTTGATTAAACGCAGGCTTTGGATGTTTTAAGCCTTACTTTTGTAATTTACTTTGTGTGTAAGTATTGTATATTGTATATGGCACAAATGTTGTTAACATGTACTGTATCTTGTTAGGCTTATAAGTACGGATAAAAACGGTGGACGGCATAAGTAGGAAAAAATGCTGTTCTTGACTCAGCTCTTATCAACATTTGTGATCAGTGTTATATTTTGTACAGCCATTCTAATTTTATTCAATTTTATTGGGCATAACAGTTGTTGTCGTAGAGTTAGCAATGTGATGTTTACAAAATCAGGACAAACCATAGGATTGGTTGAGAATAATCGTCACTGATAACTGAGTCCATTCATCAGTAAACCTGATCCTAACGAAGTACTTGTTTCAAATTTAGGATTTTTTATTTCGAAACTGTTTACAGTTTTAGGGGCCTCAGAATAGCCCTATTATAGGTAAAATTGTTAATATTGTTTGCTTGGTGTTGTTATTATTGGTTTAGGCTTTGCTTGAATATATATCATAGACAAATCATTAATTCCTAAAAGCTATAAACATAACACAGATACAGATTCTTTGTAGCTACTGTGAACCACGCCCTGGCACCTACGCCTAGGCGAACACATTGGAAGCTACCATGTGCAGAAACGAGGAGCGGCTCATAGCCCCACCTTTACAACAAGAAAACCCGTGGAGGAAAGGTTCAAGAACACGTCACCGTTTGAGGGGAACAAGCTATAATAATCATTTAATCACAACAACAAAACACATGCAATTCTAAAGTTTTAAAAATTCAAAATTGTGTTTTCTCATCTATCCTACTACGTAGCTAACATCAATTACTTTAGTTATAAAAACGTTCAGTTCAGATTACATTTCCCTTATTGACCTTCAAAACGAATTACCAAAATTATATCAATAACAACAAACATTCTTTTTATTTAATATATTTAAGATTTGTAAAATTTATCCATTTAGATCCCCAATAGATTTATTAAAAATAAATCTATATAATTAATACGCTACATGAAACTTTGTCGGTTGAACTACTCCGCCATTTCTTAACTGATTTCATCCATTGACGTCTCATTGAAAAGAGCGTGACGCGTAGATTTGCAAACTGGCCTTACCAAAAAGTCTCTTGGGCTCTACCCCAGTGGCTTTGAAAGTTACCATGGTATCCTTATGAAGAGCATAATTGTTTACATTTTGATCAGCTGTATTATTTAATTGCTGTTATTTATTTTTCAATTCAACGAAACGCATTGAGTACATTTATTTACTATTTGAGTTGGTGTAAACATAATTCCTAAGACGGATCGTGTTTAGTATGGTTTTATCTGTAATTTGTGTATTTGTCGTTGTTTTGTGTTGCTATGACGGACCGTGTTAGCGTGATTGAAACTTAAATTTGTGCATTTATCGTTGTTTTGTGTAGCTATAATTTGTTTATTTGTTGTTTTTAGCGAATTTCCCTATAGGGAAGTAGCTATTACCGTAGGTGGCACGTCTTACACCTAGGCCCGGGACCGATTTACTTTTTAATTTTGATGTCCCCAGAGGCCAAAAAACCATTCGTTCAAAATTTTATATATGTATATATATATACCAAAAAGCACACTTTATCCCAGGGACATCCCATAGTAGTCCCATATGTCCTGAGAATGTCTCGGGATATGTACGCTATCCTCAGGATATCCCGCAAAATCCCGGGACGAGTACGAAATCCACAGGATATCCTACAATATACCGTAATGTCCCGGGATTTGTAAGTTAACCTCGGGATATCCTGTAAAATCTCGGGATATGTACGAATGCCATAGGATATCCCAGAATGTCCCATGGCATCCCGGGACATGTACAAAATCCACTGGATATCCTGTAATGTCCCGTAATGTCCCGGTAACAAACTGAAGAAAAAAAAAATACTACCACTGATGAAATGTATATCTAAATTTAAACGTTCAACAAGGCCAATATATAATAATTTGTTTTTTTTTCACTAGCGCTTTCAGAAACTAGGTTTCCATCTTCAGGCTGTGTTTACACTAGTACAAAAAGTAAATATTTACTTGATAAATTAATTTTAAACAAAGTTAAAACAGATGATTTAAAGGATATTGGAAAAATAAAAAATGATATTAGAAAAATTAATCTTTTGAATTTTAGATGTATTACGGTGTTGTTCTTGATGTAATTATTTTCAGTAATTCCGAATTTATAACTGGGCCGTCTTCATTATTTAACAAATAATTTTAGTCTGTTTTTTTTTCTAAAAATAAGATTCCCACGCATTAAGATGTTGAGGCTTTATAATTTGTTTTAAAAGTTTTAAGTTTTCCCAGATTGTAAATATGTCTTGTTAATACTGTGGCTAGCAAGGGCTGACTTAACTTTACTGACATATTACTACCACTGAGTTCAGGAAAACTAGAGTTCTATCATAGTTGTGTGAAATGTGAATTTAATTCTAACTTTAAATTAATAAAACAATCAAAAACTAATTTTAATCATATAACAATCAATTATAACAGTGCTAATCTAATGGCAATTAAATAATCTATATTCAAATACCAGTATCCTCTCCAACTACCAGAAAAACAATTCAACTACTTGAGGCCTAAACAGATTAACAGAATCATATTATATACTGTAGTATCAAAAATATTTTACGTATTACGACCATTGCAACTGTCGGCTACTCTTTCACCACTTGAAAACACCTATAATCATCAAGCGCAGATAGCTCAGGAGGAAAGGTAAGAGGCTCATAAGGCGAAGGTACCAGGTTCGAGACCCGTCTGAGGCAAAAACTTTTTTCTCGTTTTTTTCTTCAAAATTTGTGTTTATTAACTATTTAATCAATTTACTAAACTTATTATTAAGCTTTTCATACTAAATCTATATTATTTTGTGTTTTTTATGTTCAGGCCCAGACCACACTTTATCCCAGGGACATCCCATAGTAGTCCCATATGTCCTGAGAATGTCCTGAGGACTACCCTGGGATGACCTCGGATGTCCCACGGATATGCTGTGAGCTTATCCGTAGGACATCCCCGGGCGGGGACATTACGCATTCCTGTGGATATCCTGGGATATCCCAGGTTGACCATAGGACCACTATGGGATATCTTGCATATCCTGTCGCAATATCCGTGGGATGTCCTGAGGAGAAAGTGTGCTGTCTGGGACGTTCGTGAACGCGATAACTTGAGTAATTTTTGCCCGATTTTGATGAAATTTGGTTTAAAGGTGTAAGGCGGGATAAACTTGAATGAGTTCGCGAATCAGTATGATCGGACCATGGAAATGGGGTTTTATAGGGTAAAAATTTGTTTTTCCAATTTTTGACCCTCAAAACACAAAATTTCCCAATTTCTGACTGGACCCTTTTAAAGAGCTTAAAAAAACAAACAATTTAGTATATCAAAGGGTGTTTGTACAGCTATCGGTAACGGAGAAATTTCAAAAAACTATACATTTAAAATTTCCATGTTATTCTTATGGAGAATATTGTAAAATGTTGTAGTTTGCTTGTTTATGGATACATTTTGATCACACTTGGTTAATTTATTTATTTTATACTAAACTATTAATAATTTTACAAAAAAAATACACTTTATTAGTTTCCTTGTAGCTACAAACCTAGGTACACATTAAACCTAATGTTATTTAAATTGGTTTAATTAAAAATCAATTGACACAAATGGAAATTCGCTTAGTCGGCAGGTTTGCTGCGGCGGGGGTATTTCTTTTAAATGCTGCCAACGCGACGACAACGAAACATAGACAGGAGGCGTATTCGTGATAACGACCGCAGCTAGCTACAGAACAGTGCTCGAATTCTAGCAAAATGTACACTAGTAATTAATAAATTCTCAGCAAGGAAATTTACACTAAATAACAATTAATTAAAGTTTGCCAGTCAATAGCAGCAACAATAATTAAAAGAATTGATAAATAAATAATACAACAATGGGCACAAATAACAGATGTATAATCTGACGGGCCAGGATAATAAAGAAAAAAAAAATAAGATTTTCCATGCTAAGAACTGAATTGAAAAGGCTTTTTGTAAACGGTCGTAGGGAAAATATCTTCAGCCCAAGATATGACCTACCATTTTATCATTCTGTACCATGCTTATTTTTTTAAATTAAAATTAACGTTGTATTTGGTTGATTAGGAAAAGTTAGCTGTAGAAATTGCCTTCTATATAGTTGTGTTACAC